ATCAACGATTGTTACCAGCGCATCGCCGCCGGAGCGTCTGGTCCAGCCCGCGGCAAGAAGAGACCGACCGTCGCCTCCGCCTCTAAGGCAGCGCAGGCCACGGTCAGATCGCTGATGGCCACCGACGAGCCAACCAAGCACGTCGCCAGAAAGAGCGCCAGAGCCGTCGCCAAGCCAAGTCATTCTGAGGTCATAAACAAGGCCGTCAGGGAGATGAAATATGGGACGGGCAAGGGGTCCTCCCTGGATGCGATCGAGACGTACATCGGCGCGCAATACAAGGTAGACGCCGAGACACTGGCTCCGCTGGCGACTTCGTCGGACGCGAAGCCTAACGCTTCTGCGGCCGGTGCTAAGAGAAAAGCTTCGGCCGCGGCAGCTAAGGGTCCGCCCGCGAAGATGGCGAAGTCGTCAATCGCCAAGGGCAAGAAGACCCCCGCAACCGCTGCCGACAAGTAAGTCGCTTACGCCGTCGGCATGCGATGCACACCAAACAGCCCCTTTTCAGGGCTAAATATTTAATCATGAATATTTTCAAAATATTCGTTTCTGTCAAACGAAGAGTCGAAAACGTTTAATTTCATACATAAGTAATATTACTATGACAAGTATCTATCGACCTGGTTGGTACCTGTATACCACGTAGGGTAAGCGTCGGTAGAAATAGATACCTCCCCCTTCGCGGAGTTTTGTCATGATCGTCAAATTGTTTTAAGTCAGTTTCCGGCTATATGCGAGCGAACAATTTGGCATTATTTTTTAATAGTTAATTATACATTCATTCACTTTCGTAGTGCCAATAATAAACATTGTCGTCGTTACGGCGGTTTGATCACATCTTGGACTGTTTATCAAACTATCAATGAATTCGACCGTTCTTCTCGGCAGGATATCAATGAGTAAATCGTCGCACAGTACACGGTCGATGTCGAGAAACTGGCTCCGTTTCTTAGAAACGATCTGAACAGCGCCGTCAGAACCTTTCTTCATACGTAAGCTTCGAATAACGAATGTTTTCAAAATAATCGTTTGATTTGATCACGTTGACGCACCATATAAATCGTTGTTAACGCGATCGAACTGGCGAAAAACTCGCAACACGCAGAGAACGAAAGTCAACTTTTAACTCGCGACGGAACGGCGAAGTGATAATGTAAGTGACGAAAATAGTAATTAGAGCAGAGCGCAGGGTAATGGTGCACACAAAACTGGTGCTAGAGTGACAACGAATTCAACGGAGCGTCCTCTGTAAGTTGTCCTAAACGGTGCGATTCCAACTGACGGTACGGGTGCGGCGTGTGCGGTGTCACGTAGGCACCTTGGGGGTATTGTTCTGGAGTTCGTCCTGGGTTCTGGTAATTCAGTGTTAAGAATGTTACCGTTTGATTTTGATATTGAGACCAAATACCGGTATGTGCGCTACCTCCAATTCCTTGTGTATTTCTGCAGTCGGATATATCAGCTGAACTTTGATATTTGGGGACACCGGAAACTTAATTTAGCAATAGCAATTTTAGCATTTTTTTTTTTGGTTTAGATTACCTTATTGAAAAGATGTATCGACTCCAAAGATCGTAGGTACCACTCGCACCGCATGCAGCGCTACCAATAAAGCAAAATAAGCTCTCGCACGTGAAGCTACGGCATAAACCAGTCTACACGCAACAGTATAATGGCCTTACTATTGGTTCGTGGTCGCTTTCGAGTTTATTTTTCACGATAGTTAATCTGGCGTTTTTATTTATTTTTACTTTGTGTAGGTATTACGTATATAGTTAAGGTACGTCATGACGTGCAAGTACCTACTAATAAAATATTAAACATAGGCTCTCCGCTGAGCTTCAGCTATTTGTTGTTGTTTGTGCCAGGGACGATGATAGGTTGGTCCGCTCGACTCGTCACCTCACAGACGACTGAAGCCCGGCCCCCTGCCACCTCACGATCGTAACGCCCGCTGAGCCGCGCTGTGATTGGTCCGGGGCGCGTATCGCGTCTTACGCCGCCCCGAGCTAATGTCGCTCGCGTGTAATCGTATAAAAACGAGTGTTATCGCTGTTGATCGTTTACTCTGCGCCTGCACCCTGCTGCGGTAGCACGCTTTCTCTAGTCTCTTATAACTTTTACATACGACTACAGAAATGCCTATCGATGCTACTGATAGGAAGAAGAAATACGCCATGGACGGCGTAAACCTTCTCCTCGCTCAACACCTCGTCGACGTTGAGCTCTATAAGCAAGGGCAACCGGACACCGGTATATCCAGCGAGGCCATGTCGGCCGTCACGTCGTACATCAACGATTGCTACCAGCGCATCGCCGCCGGAGCGTCTGGTCCAGCCCGCGGCAAGAAGAGACCGACCGTCGCCTCCGCCTCTAAGGCAGCGCAGGCCACGGTCAGATCGCTGATGGCCACCGACGAGCCCACCAAGCACGTCGCCAGAAAGAGCGCCAGAGCCGTCGCCAAGCCGAGTCACTCTGAGGTCATAAACAAGGCCGTCAGGGAGATGAAATATGGGACGGGCAAGGGGTCCTCCCTGGATGCGATCGAGACGTACATCGGCGCGCAATACAAGGTCGACGCCGAGACACTGGCTCCGCTGGCGACTTCGTCGGACGCGAAGCCTAACGCTTCTGCGGCCGGTGCTAAAAGAAAAGCTTCGGCCGCGGCAGCTACGGGTCCGCCCGCGAAGATGGCGAAGTCGTCAATCGCCAAGGGCAAGACGACCCCCGCAACCGCTGCCGACAAGTAAGTCGCTTACGCCGTCGGCATGCGATGCTGCACACCAAACAGCCCTTTTCAGGGCTAAATATTTAATCATGAATATTTTCAAAATATTCGTTTCTGTCAAACAAAGAGTCGAAAACGTTTAATTTCATACATAAGTAATATTACTATGACAAGTATCTATCGACCTGGTTGGTACCTGTATACCACGTAGGGTAAGCGTCGGTAGGAATAGATACTTCCCCCTTCGCGGAGTTTTGTCATGATCGTCAAATTGTTTTAAGTCAGTTTCTGGCTATATGCGAGCGAACAATTTGGCATTATTTTTTAATAGTTAAAATTATACATTCATTCACTTTCGTAGTGCCAATAATACATATTGTCGTCGTTACGGCGGTTTGATCACATCTTGGACTGTTTATCAAACTATCAATGAATTCGACCGTTCTTCTCGGCAGGATATCAATGAGTAAATCGTCGCACAGTACACGGTCGATGTCGAGAAACTGGCTCCGTTTCTTAGAAACGATCTGAAATAACGAATGTTTTCAAAATAATCGTTTGATTTGATCACGTTGACGCACCATATAAATCGTGGTTAACGCGATCGAACTGGCGAAAAACTCGCAACAGGCAGACAACGAAAGTCAACTTTTAACTCGCGACGGAACGGCGAAGTGATAATGTAAGTGACGAAAATAGTAATTAGAGCAGAGCGCAGGGTAATGGTGCACACAAAACTGGTGCTAGAGTGACAACGAATTCAACGGAGCGTCCTCTGTAAGTTGTCCTAAACGGTGCGATTCCAACTGACGGTACGGGTGCGGCGTGTGCGGTGTCACGTAGGCACCTTGGGGGTATTGTTCTGGAGTTCGTCCTGGGTTCTGGTAATTCAGTGTTAAGAATGTTACCGTTTGATTTTGATATTGAGACCAAATACCGGTATGTGCGCTACCTCCAATTCCTTGTGTATTTCTGCAGTCGGATATATCAGCTGAACTTTGATATTTGGGGACACCGGAAACTTAATTTAGCAATAGCAATTTTAGCATTTTTTTTTT